CATGAAGTTTTGGGAGAGGCTAGAGAGTGAGACGTCGCTCAAACCACAAGTAGAAACAAGGAGACTTTCAATGGCAGAAAGATACAGTTTTAGTGTTTATGTTGGTGGCATTACTATGTCATTGCACAAGTGAGAGAGGATAGCTTCTCCATGAAGCTTGGTTCGTGGAAAACTAAGTTGTGGAAGGCAAGAAGTGTCAAGAGCATCTTTTTGTTAATCCGATGTTGAAGATTTGGAACAATTAAAGACAACGTTGCATGCATTGACAATCTGATTTGTCACAATCTGAGTCCGGCCTGTATCCAGCCAATTTGGAGCACCATTGCGTTGAAAACAGATGGGAAATGGTGTTTTTACCGCCGTTAAAATCTTTATTAATTCCAAGCAACAATGCAAAACAACAATCATAATAAATTATTAAAATTTTCTGGTAAATATTTAATTAACTATCAACATTGTTTTGGCCAATGAGATGTTTTTTTTGGGTGAAGAAACGGGGCTAACGCCCAACAAAGAAATTAAACAATGGTTCAAGGCCTACAGATTTCAAGTAAATCTTCACTAAGAAATGACCTAATACTGTCAGGAGGGTCATGGAAAGTTGACAGACCCAACTCAAGACATGAACCCAATTCAGCTAGTTTATCCGCTACCATATTGCACTCACGATATACATGATGAATATAACAAACCCAGTTTTTGTTTATATAGTCTTGGCATCCCCACAACATAGTAGCAAGAGGATGAAGGTCTTCCACATTTTTGTTAAGCAGGTAGCAGGTGTACCACGGTCGCTAAGTCGGACTCAAGCACAACTGCACTGCAACCTATATCCCAAGCAATTTTCAATCCAAGGTAGATGCCTCATAACTCAGCTTCCAAGACTTGTCCTACACCAAGATTGACATCAAAGCCTCTCATCCACTGCCCCATAACAATTTTTGCCAATGAGATGTTTTATTTAAGGGTAAAGTGCCGAAAACCCCCTTGAACTACAACGTTTGTCGAAATGTCTACCATGAATTATTTTTTCAGCCAATTTAGCCCTTATAATAAATTTTATCCCCAATTTAACACCTACCGTCAAGTTTTTCTACACTTCCATCCAATTTTCCATCAATTATAAGGGTATGTTTGTCATTTTACAAATAAAAAATAAAAAAAATGTAAAAACAAAAAACAGTCTTCTTCATCCCTCTTCCCTAAACGAAAAAACAAAACCATGTATCCAAAATTGATAACCAAAAAACCATTGCAATGGATTGCAACATCATTGGTTGGGGAAAATGAAAGAGAAACAATATCTTCTCTAACCAAAAACGTTCACAGGTTTTAGCTTCACATATGCACCATTGAAATGGAAGGTGACGATAGGGTCTTCGATTTCGGATTTAATCTTGTAGCAAAGCTGTAGTATGCCAGTTGGATCTCCGGTCACCTCTAGATGAACCGCCTTTCTAATTGCTGATTCAAAACTTTGCCAGTGGAGCAGGTGACGATGCAGAGGTCGGATCCTACAGTGACGGGTAGCTTAGCTTGCTTACTTTCCCTGACCTCTTGCTGGAAGCATCAGAATCAAAAGATTGAGAAGGAGGTGGAGTATGCAAGCAACCTTTGCTTTGGATCCAGAGATTGAGATGATGCCTTTGGATCCTAGTTCAGATGCCACAAATCTGGTGTGTTGTCTCCTTGAATAACGGCGCCAGAGATGGGCTTGAAGAAGGCATGGGTTAGGTCAAGGCCGCTAAAGTGATTTAAAATTTAATTATTTTAAACTTTTAAAAAAAATTAAATTTTAATTGAAGTGCTTTAAAATTAAAAAAATTAAATTTTAATTGAACAGTAAGTCATGTGCCTACCATGTGACATGTAGACAGAAAATTGGATGAAATTGCATGAAAACTAACGGTAGGGGGTAAATTGACCATTTCAAATAATATGAGGGCTAAATTGGGTGAAAAAATAATTCAAGATGGATATTTCAACAATCAATATAGTTCAGGGGGTATTCGGCAATTTACCCTTTATTTAATTAACGTAGCTAATACAAAGTTGTAAAGGTTGCTCTCTCGTACACGAGTAGAGCTGTCACGTCAAAATTAAGGTTAGGGTTTTGTCCGTGCCACTCATCTCTCTCTGACTTTGAATAGGATCGTGGTGGGGTGTCTTCTCGGCGTGGTGGTTTGTAGTGGTGGTTTCAAGTTTGTGAGTTTCGATTAGAATTTGTCGACGTGGGTTCTTCCTTCACGTCAACCAAATCTATTCTCATTTCTTCTTATATCAGCCCTTCACACCTCTCATCCGGTTCTCTTGGGCATCGTCTGGCTCTGGTTGTCTAGCTCTTATTGGCTTCGTCTAGTTCTAGGGCTCCCTCTCGGCACTAGTTGTTGTCTTTCTCGGATCTTGTGTTGGTTGATGGGTCTGTGTGGTCTTCATGCACTATTCTCTACTGTAGGGTTTGGTGGCCCTAAGATTTTGGCAAACGAGGGGGACCGTCACGTAAGGGTCCCTCGTTCTTTGGTGGTTTGGTGGTTTAATGGTGATGGTTGCGATAGAGCAGGCATCGCGAGGTGCTGCTGGTGCAAGTTGGGGGTTTCCAGGTGGTTGGCGTCTAGATTGTTCTGCACTCTCTGTTCCTCTCTCGGCGGATTCTTTTATGCCAAGGCTCTGGGATTTGAGTGGTTTTCAAGAATCTACTATTTTTTAGCAATTTTTCTACATTGACGAGCTTGCTGCTAAGGTGTCAAAGGACAACCTTGAAGGTCTCCCAATTCTCCTTGATGTGTTTGCAGGAACGTTTGTGGGCTTGGCATCTAATAAACTTTCCCCTTATGATGTTCTTTGGTTGGAAGTTCGTCAAGCTAAGAGGTCAATCTTGTTGGGGTCTTGTTTTATGTGTCTTTAGTTTATGTTTGGCTATCCTTTTGTTTTTCCCTGTTCTATTGATCCCTTGCAACTCTTCTCTGCTCTATGCCGACCGAAGAACTATGCTTGGTCATATTAGGTTTTCTTTGGCAGGTTCTGAGTTGAAATTGGGTGCTTCTCATGGGTTCTTTTTACTTTTATTTTTGTGTTTCCTCCTCCGTGTTTCTCTCATGGTTTCTGCTCTTGGTATAACTTACAATTTGTGTTTGTGTCAAAGGACTATGAGTTTGCTCATAGAAGGTTTTTTTTTTTTTTTTAAATAGTTGGGATGCTTTGCGGTCCTCTTCTATGGGTCTACTGTGTTGGTCTCTAGTTGCGATTCTTGTCAGAGATCTTTGTGTTAGTTTTCATTTTTGTTTTGTTCTTTTATTGTAATGGTCCAAAATGATATGAATCGACCTCTCTTGTTAGTCCATGACATGTGTGGTACTCTTTCCTCCCTTGGGGTTGTCCCATGCGATTTCCTAGGAAGGTTTTAACGAGGTCATTGTATCGTGTCATTTTATGTACGCCTTTGGTTCTATGAATGAATTCTCTTTCTCAAAAATGAAATATTTTACTCAAGGGAAAGATTTATATATAGAGGTTTTTAGTGATATACCCATTCTTAGCACTAATAATATAGATAAACCCTACAACATTGAATTTCTATAAACAAACCCAAAAAAAAAACCCAAAAATTTACAGCTGACCCTATTGAATTTAAGTTTGATTATTAAATTACTTTGATACCTTACTAAGTATTTTGGGTTTTTTTTTATGAGGTTTTGGAATGGGCTTGTTCTAAGAAATTGATGGTAGTTTTGTAATTTATAAGAAGTTAAAAGTCTCTTTGTAATGTTATAAATAGGTTTTGGGTATGTTTCTAAAATCCATTTCATATAGAATATTTTTATAATTTTAGCCCCTCTATTAGGTATAATAGTGAATCTCCCTTATAAATATTATTGTAGCAAAATTCTCAGGTAACATTATTAGTGTAGCAAATAGTCCCATTATATCGATACCATTTCGATATGTTGTTGATATTGTCTCATTATTTCGATGGTGAACATTCCTATATAGTCTTGATATGACCTAAATTAAGTATCAATATTCTGTCGATTTGCTATAGTAATAGTGTTATGTGAGAACTTTACTATAGTAATAATGAAATTAACAGTTTTTCCTTCTATGTAATTTGTTCGAAGGAAATCTATCCCATAACAAAGGAGAAAAACTTAGTTAACTCTCCATCTCACAACATGAGAGAGAGACGGCGAGAGTGAGGATGTATTACAGTTTCAAGTATATTTTTCTCCTAACAAAAGGGCCAAGGACGGTGGGTCATGGACCCATTTATTGGCGCCATTCCCTTCGAAATAGTGGCTCATGGACCCAAATCGGAGCTCCGAGGCCTAGACTTGCAATTTGCTGGTTTTTTTTTTTTTTTTTTTTTTTTGCGTGCGCAATGTTCCAACTCTTCTTCTATCGCCTCAGCCATATTTTCTACATCATGTTATGATATGATGTGAGTCAACAACTATTAATATTCTAACAAGTAATCTAGACCTAGTGGAGCTATAGGTACGTAGATCCTGTGCAAAGTGAGTAAGGCAATGTTAAGACAGAGAATTTACCAAAACTCAGTAGAAACCAAGATAACTCTTCTTCTTTACAGCATGCATTAATCAATATATCCACATGAGCTACTGGTTTTTACCGTTTTATCAGCACGACTTTCTCCTCATGGAATATTCCATTCGGTATATCCATAAATGCATAATATGCCCCACATCCGAATTACATTAAGTTGGGGCCAAATGACCATACAATCCAAACAGGTTGGTCGAAGAATGTAATTCCAATATGAAAATCCAAAGGGGTAGCTGTCTCTCAGTCCCTTTCTTCAAGAGTTCAAACATTTACGTGACACCATCTTGTAAACTATATATCTCACGTAATGTCCACATCTGCATGAAAATTCCACATATAATGCCTCCACGCCACTTCCCTTTTTCCAATACCAACTGTTTTCGATTGATATTATCGTTGCTTCTGTTTCTTCTCTCATCATCCAAGAAACTCTGCTTTCAATGGAGAAAGTGTCAACGTTTCCTTCTTCGGCTTTGCAATTATTACCTCCTGGTTTCAAATTCCATCCATCTGATGAAGAACTCATTGTTCATTACTTGCGAAACAAAGTGATTTCGCATCCACTTCCAGCGCAGTTGATCACTGAAATCGATCTCTATAAGTATAATCCGTGGGAGCTACCCAGTCAGTTCCGCAGCATTCACTCATTTAATTCCTCAGAGGGGTTGATCCTTCTATAGCAGCTAAATATGTTTTTTTTTTCCTTCCTTGGTTTCTGCAGACAATGCTTTGTTTGGAGAAGATGAATGGTATTTCTTCAGCCCGAGGGACCGGAAGTATCCAAATGGGGTGAGGCCAAATAGAGCAGCAGCTTCAGGCTATTGGAAGGCTGCTAGCAGTGACAAGCCAATTCTCACCTCTCGTGGATTGAAGCGCATCGGGGTGAAGAAGGCTTTAGTCTTTTACACTGGTCGTGCCCCAAAATGAGTTAAAACTGAATGGATCATGAACGAGTATAGACTGCTTGACAATACCATTAAACCATCAAGGTTAAAAGGGTCTATGAGAGTAAGTGGATATCATGAGATATTGAGATTGCATATATCCATATATGAATCTCAAAATATATGTATCTCAAAAAGATGGAGCAAACCACTTCGAGGGCCTTAGATACATATTAGTGTATCCAATACCAGAACCTCCTTGGTTAGGGCATAGACTTCTAATCAACTAACACAGTACTTTGTTTCACACTGTAAAAAATGCTAGTGTCAGTCACCCACGTGCATGTGACTGATAACCGTTGATGGGAGTGACCTCCATCAACCGTTTAGAGTTACCACACTCTAGCTAAGTCTTCACTCATATTTGTGAAGCTTATAGAAGGTTTTCATGCTAGCCTAGGCTCCCTCTTAAATATTGTTCCTCAAGATTCAAGATACTCAATCTTGTGCAGACATATCGTACTTAAATTTGTGAAATATCTATTTTGTTTTTTGATTGGAACACAGGTGTTTTTTTATCACTTGGTTATGTAGTTCGGATATCAACTTTGATAAGAACAATGTAATCTCAAAGGCAATTAAAAAAATGCTTCTTCTTGTTACAGTTGGATGATTGGGTACTATGTCGAGTTCAACAGAGAGGAAATAGATCAAAGAACACATGCAACAGTCAAGACAGCTATAGCACAGAATTTTGGAGGTACCTACCAAAAGTTGAGCAGACACAGGCTACATATGCAAACCTTCATGCTGATATTATCACCGATTTTCTATATAAAGACTGCCAACTATTAGCTTCCATACTTTCCGGTCAAGCTCCATCTCCAACAGAGACCAATTCAAGCGTGAGCTTTCAAGGGAGCAAAGATAGCTATGAAGTTCGTTCAAATAATATGGTAAAATCAACAATATCAATTTCTTCTTCGGTCATTGATTCCAACACACTAAAAATGAAAAGTACAGAAGAAAATATGAAAGAAAATCACTTTCCACTCATCAACAATCGAGAAAGCAAGAAAATAGATAAGAATCTTCTGCCTAGCATGAGACCGGCAGGCAACGCTATCAACTGCTACATCCCAAACCACTCCCAGTATGACCTACTCAATGCTCATCCAACCGATCCCACCAACTTTGAGGAGTTTAATGAAATGACCTTCCCAGGGACATACTTCGAGTAATGAAGTAAACTCTTTGCAGAAAGCTATGATCCTCAAAGAACGGACACAGTCAGGAGGCGATAGTTTCAGGCTATACAGCATGAAATGTAAACAAAGTGTACAATGCATGGTATGGATTGGCCTAACCGAATCAGTATTCTGTGTATTTTCTGTCTACTTAACTCTGTTTATGTGTATATGTGTCTTGTCCTCACAATACTGGTGTAATAAATAGTCTTATGGCTAGACATAAAAGCTTATGCTTGATCATGGGAAAAAATAAAAGAAAAAACTTTTCTGAAGCTGTTATGTAATGTAAAGTAGAATTCTCAGTAATATCGGCCATTATTATGTAAATTCAGTTCGTTATCCTTTCATGGTTTTATCAATTCTTTACTTATACAGAAAGCAAACTTGACATCGTTAAATACTTCTGCAAAACACTTTTCCCTACTCACAGTACGGATTATGGTCAAGATAACAGACTTTACGAAACATTTGTGTACCAATATAAACTGATGCTTAATAAATTAATGGCATGATAAGTACAGACAGGAATAAATGAACCTAAACTACAATTTAAATTCCATTTTATTGAGAGAAGAACCACTGAGTAAGAAACTATATAATAATCATCTTCAATTAGCCAAAACTAGTTTTGATAATTGAGGGCGTACTTGAACTTGCTAAAAAGTTATGAGGAAAGCCCAGGCAAGATATGGTCCAATAATAGCTGCTGATCGAAGCCTTCTGAATGCAATTTCATCTCAGTGCACTGCAATAGAACAGTAGAATTCATTTGCTAAAGGGAAGACAAAATTCTAAGTACAAAATTAGGAAATACAGTTCAATAGTAAATAATGATGGATAGACTATTTGGTCTGCAGGAAGTCATAACAGCAGACACCCATGAAAGATGTAGGAACAGTTCTAAAGCATATTCAGAAAACAGAACCTTTTCTTTTTAATTCATAAAACCGATGAAATATACGTGTCATGACTATGAAATCAACCTAATGACACTTAGTTGAATGTTTTATGAGACGTGTTCCAGAAGACAAATTCGTATATCAATTTGAAAGAACGTTTCAACTCTACAGCTCCAAGGAAGTACCTCTTAGCATTTGGGGATTATGAATTTAAAATTTCTGAGTACATGCACAGAGCGAGATACTTACTTGTATATATAGAAGGCGATTCCGAGAATTACACACAACAAAATAATGTCAATGCAGAAATTTCGGCTCGACCTCACCTGCAAAAAGGAAAACAAAAAAAAGCAAAGGTTCTAATAATTATAACCCTGCATGCATAATGTGAGAATTGGAACTGATCAGTAAGGTCAGCTTACAGATACCTTGTGAAGATTGTCCTTGAGCCTAACATTGTTACTCTTTATTTCCGATGTAACCTTGTCCACCTGTCAAGGCACCAAAACATCATCAGTAAGTATTGAACTTATAAAATGCTTGCAACATTATTTCTCCCAGATGTCATTGAGAAGACTAGGATTTCAGTGAGAGAATAAGCACTCACTTTTGTATCTATTTCATCAATTAGTGGGACTTGCCGATCCAATTCCTGAAAATATTGAAACAATGATCAATCTCTAAACCTTTCTAATAACAAAATGAAACAGAGGTATGTGAATCACATCCAAACCTCATTCATATCATGGGCCAAATTTTTCAGTGTTCCCAATCCTTCTGATATGATATCTAGACCTTCATCCTGCACAAATGACCAACTGAATCAAAAGAAGTGCAGAGTTATAGCATGCAAGAGCTAGAGGCAACTGTATTACTAAATGATTCTTCTCTTTTCTTTGTTGATCACAGAGCAAAATGTAAAAGAAACTAAATTAATTTAAAAAAAGTTACATACTTGTTTCATTTTACGCATTTCATACTCCGTCCTGAATTGATTTGATTCTTCGTTTTGCTGGAAAAAAGCACTGTCAAAGTTCCCATCTGATTGGTAAGGTAACACACTAGTATTAATAATCGAACAAAAGGCATTCATTGAAAAATATAACCACAAAACAAACAAAAAAAGGCATAAAAAACACTGATTACCTGATGAGTCGAATTTGATATTTTTATGAGACGCTGAAGTTGCCCATCCCCCAGCTTTTGTGGCTGCAGTTTCTGACCCATCTGGTATTTCTTGTATCCTCTCTGGCAGTGCAAGAACCAGATCATTGCGTGTTTCTAGGTCTTCTTTGGACAGCCCTTTAACCTGTTATTGTAAGGGATTAGAAAACAATTCGTGTTATGAACTTGGAGTTTTTCAAACGTTTTCAGGCTGCAAAACAAACGAACCTACACAATGCCACACTGGTGATAAAATCAACAAATCTAAGTTGAAAAGATAAAAGTCTAGTTGTGAGCATTTTAAAATATTGCCCATGATAGGCATGCATCCTCTTGTAATCAATTAATGATCAAGAGTTCATGCCCCGGCGTTGCAGGCTGATGTTCTCAAGAATTCTCTGAAAAAATGGTTATCGCAGTTAGATGCTACTACCAAAATTATTAAGAAAACCTAATATGGGTTGGTTACGTTTGCAATTTCAGTTGTCAAAGCAAAATCCACATCAGTTGCCAAAAGGTGGTAAGTATACTTTTGAAGCAAGGTAACATATTAGGAGGTGGTGTCAATTGAGGGTAAAACATGAATAGGAGATACGAAATTGTAATATAGCCTTGAGGGAATTAACAAAACGAAGATGATATGAAGCCCTTAAGAACACCATATTTGCTCCAAGAATGCAGAGCTGGTAAAGTATGACAGAATAAAAGGCCTCCCAAGAAATTCATAGAAGCAAATACATATCAAGCAAGACGAGCAAATGCATGCCAAGTCATTAGAGCAGAGAAACTGATACATTCTAATCACCCCTTAAGAATTCATCAAAATGGGGTTCTCTATCTGCTTGTTAATGCAGGACTTTATAGAGTCCCAATGCTTATGCCAATTGTTCCAGAATCAAAATTGTACAAAAAAGAGGAAATGCAATCTCCCTTGGGAGATATCTACCGAGGTTACAGTTGTCTCCTTTTAGCATAATCTCTAGACAACCGTATGCCTCCTCTCTGTCCTCCCTGACAAAAGTCTTGTACTTCCTAGTCAGTTCCTTCTAGATTCTGCTACAGTAACCCTATTTCTTTGAAGATGATTGTTTTGTTTCATTACTACAAGAAACACTCTTGTTTCCCTTATCTTGTGAATCATTTTCATTGATAGACCCACGGTAATGGTCCGGCTCAATCTACACCACTTTTCCAAAACCAAGATGCTATTGACCTTGGAAATAAAGCCAGCTATCAGATAAGAATATGACATGCTTATCTTGTGAATCATTTTCATTGATAGACCCACGGTAACGGTCCGGCTCAAACTACACCACTTTTCCAAAACCAAGAAGCTGTTGACTTTGGAGATAAAGCCAGCTATCAGATAAGAATATGACATCAATTTGGAGCTATTATCACTCAGTTTATCCGTACACAATCTCAATTGACCCCATCATCAGAATTAAATTTTCATAAAATGTGACCCACCAAATCATATCTAATCACACATCCTTCATAAAAAAGTCAGCTTGCACAAAACCAAATAAAAAATTAAAAAATTTCCTAAATTTAAAAATCAATAAACAGAGATTTGATTTCACCTTTCTCTGAGCCAATTTGCGCAGCTTAGGAATTTCCTCCATCAATCGAGCTTTGGTCCGACGAATCTCGACATTGGACGCCACAGCCACAGCCCGATTAGTCTCGGTCGCAGCCTTCTCGGCTTTCTGCACATCCCAAATACCACAAACTCAAACTTTTCCTGCATTTTCTCGGCAACCGAATGAGGAAACAGGAAGCTAAAAAAACCTGGCGAGTGGCTTGGATTTCGTCTTCGAAGCGAGCGTAGAGACGAGCGAAGGCATCGTCGCCGTGAGGGTTGAGGTCGTGCTGCTTCTCGATGTCGTACTTGTCGTATTTCTTGCATATTGAGTCGACTCGGGAGAGGATGTCGATGACGCTCATTTTCGTTTTCTCTCGGAGTGAGAAGAGAAGATCGCTGCGTTAGAGAGAGAGAGAGGGAGAGAGAAACTCTCTCGTCTCGTTCAAGCATTGCGTTTCTCTCTCTTTCTGCGCCTCTGAATTTTCGGACGGTTTTTTCCATTTTACTGGAGAACCAGGAAGTAAGGAAGGGCGCGACAGCGTGGACTTGGTCAACTGTCTTTTTGGCGGGTACACATCCCATTGGCCATTTTCGTCTTCCTACCCGCTTTTCTTTTTGGGGTCGAATTCTACCCGGTTTTATTTTTTATTCTTATTGCCATCTTGTTTTCCTTTTGTTGGGCTCTTATACCAGGCCCAAACTGGGCTAAGAACAATCAAAGTGTAATGGGCCTAGCTCTGAGATCCTATTTTTCAACCGTTTGATTATTTATTTTGAGATAAGTATCACTATAGAATTCTTGCAACGAACTTGGCCAAATCATTTTGAGAATGTAACCCAAAAAAAAAATTTCGGTTGAAGGGGGAACGAATCCATAAATTAAATTAAATTAACTAATAAAGAATACTTTGAGCCGACATTTGGCCTAATCTATCATCATCCAAAACGAGTGCCAAAGAAGTAGGAAGACATCAAAACTACACAAATCCAAAGACAAATTGTGCCCCATAATAACAGAACACGGTTCTAATCTCTAAGTTAAGTAATAGTTTGATGTTGACGTGGTAATTTTTTCTAGTATTTGCCCACACTCAACTTACTCTAATTTTTTGCAAATTTAGCTAGACTAGCATTGTTGTTATGTATATATTAATGGGGCATTCTTCCTATTAGTTTTCATTCCTACCCATAATTGGCAGCATGGAAGCAAGATTTGCAACCTCATTTATGAATAACAAATTTATGTGAGCATAGTGTCATATAGGGGTTGTACGTCGGTTCGAAACCAATACAATTTAGTTAATTCGTATTCGATTCAATATAAATTGGATTGTGATTTTTTCAATCTAATCCAATCATATTAGATGTTTAAATCCAATTGATATTGGATTGAATTGGATGATCGATTTTGATAATGGAAAAAGACAATAATGAAATATTAAACATTTATCCTTAGGTTTAATCTAATCAAACATATTAATATATGTAAATGTAAATACTAGAGAAAATTGTTTTGATTATATAATATATTAAACATAACTTCATTAAATGACTTAAAATATGCATAACCTTTTCAACTACAGATACCTATAAGAGCAAAATAAGCATAAAACTAACTAGAATGGATTGGATTTGATTGGATTGGATTCTCATAAGCAAATTCATCATCCGATCCAATCATGTCAGTTTTGAAAATTACGGATCCAATTCAATCCTCTAAATCATCGAAACCGATTGAAATTGGATTGGATCTTGTACACCCCTAGTACCATAGGGTTATTTTTTATTATAAGGGATTCTTCTAATTAGTTGTCATTAGTATATTAATTCCAAGAATTGTAGTAGGAATTTAAAACTTCTACAAGTTTGAATTTCGTTTTATTTGGACAAAAGAAAGAAAAACGTAACCTTGTTAACCTAAACAAAAGGAAGATATGAATTAAAAATATAAAATCCGGGAACAACACAAAAACAAACCAGGAACTTCTTTTTTTCTTTCCAAATCCTGTTTTCAGTTTAATTTTTAAATTCGGACACATCCAAAACTATTGGATTCTCAACCATTCAATGTACCACTCAAATGAGAAAAACAAGCAAACACAGCCATCGCGCGCCTTGGATCAGAGGCTGTGGAGAAGCTCATGATCCTACACGCTTTCCTCATTCCATATGGAAAAATCATGTTCCCGATTTGAAACTCCAAAGGCGTTGCTACTTTTTATTCTCCCATCTCCAAGTAATTTACATGTTTACTTATCAAGATACGTGTTACTTAATTAGTAAACACGTAAGAAATAAAAAATTATGTGTTTCTCGTTAAAATATGTAATCCAATACCCCTCAAAATTAGGGACTGGACTAAGAGAGTAATTACTCGAATTCTAATTCTAATTCCCTAATTCTCATATACCTAGGTTTTCTTTATTTACAACTTTTTCATTCCCAATAAGTAAGCATGTCTTCCTATTCCTATTCCTATATGGACTCAGGGATGCTTATAAATACCACACATCTCTTGCCCTAGCCTTCTTGTCCCATCAAAACCTTAAGCAAACAATAGAGAGAAACAAGAACTACTCCACTTGATCCATCATATATCAGCATTAATGGCTAATTCGCGTCATGTGTCGTTAGCATTCCGCTTCCAACCCACAGATCAAGAAATCATCCGGTGCACATCCCATTGGCCATTTTCGTCTTCCTACCCGCTTTTCTTTTTGGGGTCGAATTCTACCCGGTTTTATTTTTTATTCTTATTGCCATCTTGTTTTCCTTTTGTTGGGCTCTTATACCAGGCCCAAACTGGGCTAAGAACAATCAAAGTGTAATGGGCCTAGCTCTGAGATCCTATTTTTCAACCGTTTGATTATTTATTTTGAGATAAGTATCACTATAGAATTCTTGCAACGAACTTGGCCAAATCATTTTGAGAATGTAACCCAAAAAAAAAATTTCGGTTGAAGGGGGAACGAATCCATAAATTAAATTAAATTAACTAATAAAGAATACTTTGAGCCGACATTTGGCCTAATCTATCATCATCCAAAACGAGTGCCAAAGAAGTAGGAAGACATCAAAACTACACAAATCCAAAGACAAATTGTGCCCCATAATAACAGAACACGGTTCTAATCTCTAAGTTAAGTAATAGTTTGATGTTGACGTGGTAATTTTTTCTAGTATTTGCCCACACTCAACTTACTCTAATTTTTTGCAAATTTAGCTAGACTAGCATTGTTGTTATGTATATATTAATGGGGCATTCTTCCTATTAGTTTTCATTCCTACCCATAATTGGCAGCATGGAAGCAAGATTTGCAACCTCATTTATGAATAACAAATTTATGTGAGCATAGTGTCATATAGGGGTTGTACGTCGGTTCGAAACCAATACAATTTAGTTAATTCGTATTCGATTCAATATAAATTGGATTGTGATTTTTTCAATCTAATCCAATCATATTAGATGTTTAAATCCAATTGATATTGGATTGAATTGGATGATCGATTTTGATAATGGAAAAAGACAATAATGAAATATTAAACATTTATCCTTAGGTTTAATCTAATCAAACATATTAATATATGTAAATGTAAATACTAGAGAAAATTGTTTTGATTATATAATATATTAAACATAACTTCATTAAATGACTTAAAATATGCATAACCTTTTCAACTACAGATACCTATAAGAGCAAAATAAGCATAAAACTAACTAGAATGGATTGGATTTGATTGGATTGGATTCTCATAAGCAAATTCATCATCCGATCCAATCATGTCAGTTTTGAAAATTACGGATCCAATTCAATCCTCTAAATCATCGAAACCGATTGAAATTGGATTGGATCTTGTACACCCCTAGTACCATAGGGTTATTTTTTATTATAAGGGATTCTTCTAATTAGTTGTCATTAGTATATTAATTCCAAGAATTGTAGTAGGAATTTAAAACTTCTACAAGTTTGAATTTCGTTTTATTTGGACAAAAGAAAGAAAAACGTAACCTTGTTAACCTAAACAAAAGGAAGATATGAATTAAAAATATAAAATCCGGGAACAACACAAAAACAAACCAGGAACTTCTTTTTTTCTTTCCAAATCCTGTTTTCAGTTTAATTTTTAAATTCGGACACATCCAAAACTATTGGATTCTCAACCATTCAATGTACCACTCAAATGAGAAAAACAAGCAAACACAGCCATCGCGCGCCTTGGATCAGAGGCTGTGGAGAAGCTCATGATCCTACACGCTTTCCTCATTCCATATGGAAAAATCATGTTCCCGATTTGAAACTCCAAAGGCGTTGCTACTTTTTATTCTCCCATCTCCAAGTAATTTACATGTTTACTTATCAAGATACGTGTTACTTAATTAGTAAACACGTAAGAAATAAAAAATTATGTGTTTCTCGTTAAAATATGTAATCCAATACCCCTCAAAATTAGGGACTGGACTAAGAGAGTAATTACTCGAATTCTAATTCTAATTCCCTAATTCTCATATACCTAGGTTTTCTTTATTTACAACTTTTTCATTCCCAATAAGTAAGCATGTCTTCCTATTCCTATTCCTATATGGACTCAGGGATGCTTATAAATACCACACATCTCTTGCCCTAGCCTTCTTGTCCCATCAAAACCTTAAGCAAACAATAGAGAGAAACAAGAACTACTCCACTTGATCCATCATATATCAGCATTAATGGCTAATTCGCGTCATGTGTCGTTAGCATTCCGCTTCCAACCCACAGATCAAGAAATCATCCGTTCCATTCTTTACAAGATGGTGGTTGAGAGAGAGCCTTTGAACCCGTCATACAAAGGCATTGTTCATGACGAGGACCTCTTCGGCACCAAAGAACCATGGAAGATATGGGAAGATTATGGAGGAGATCAACTCTATGATCAAGACTTATACTTCCTATGCCAGCTCAAGAGGTTAAACTTCAGTCGTTCACGTACCCATCGCAAGGTTGGCTGCGAAGGGTCCTGGAGAGGAGTAGTCTCCAAATTGGTTTACGATGGAAACGCTAATCCTATTGGTAGAATAAGAAAGCTTCGATATAAGAATCCAAAGTCGGAGCACCACGGTGGGTGGTATTTGGATGAATATAGCCTTTTTGTAGGTGATGATGGTCATGATCAAACTACTCCTGGTATTAATTTTGTGATTTGTCGATTGAGGAAGAATCATAGGTCCGGCAGAATAAGAGCAGGTGTTGATAAAAAGACCAACAAAGCACCACAACAAATACATGAAAATGAAAGTAAAAGAAAATCAATGAATGTGATTATCAATATTGATGATGAGGAAGTACCACATGGATGCTCAAAAAACGCAAGAACCCGAGAGAGCTTTAGAAAGAGAGGCTCCTTCTTCTCTCCAGAATTTCTCTCCTTCCCCACAGCCCTCTTTTGAGCAGTTGGTGGCTATGCC